TGAAGTGGATGCTGGCGAGAGCTGTCACGAAACCCTGGAAACCGTGAGTCTGGCATCCTTCAGAGCCATATGGCCAGTACCTGCAGATAGAGACATGTGTGAGTGTGTGTGTGAATAGACAAGAGTATTTAGCCACCAACAAAGAATGGGGATAATTGCTCCCTAGCAGCGTGGGACCAATAGAGATTGTGATCTTGACCAAATACACCAAGAAAACCTTCAAGCAGAGGCATTTAAGACCATTGATAAATATTTTTTTTAAATAACAAAGGGAGGGTATACACTACATATATAAACACACACACACATGTGTATATATATAAATAATCCCTGAATAGTGAGCGCAGCAGCTGTGACCTGATAATAGCTTGAAAATCCTCTGTATCTGCACATCAGGCTCCAGCAGTGGACTGACCCTCCCACCCTCCACCATTACTCCACCATCTATCGATTACATACAGACCCATAGGTTGATTATTCGCCTGGAGCACTGGTATAACCAGCTGTTATTATCCCCACCACGGTATTGTATTTACCCAGATCAGACCTTGATATTTTTTTTATAATATAATGAAAGCAGCGGCCGGTTGCATCGCTCACCTCAGGAAGCTGGAGAAAGCGGCGATGGTGGCGTTCATGGAGATGCCCATGTCAGCCATGGCTAAGCTGAACACGAGGAAATTGCTGGGGGTCCTCAGCTCCCTGACTTTGAGGAAAGCAGCGATGGTCACCGCGTTTAGGAAGAAGCCCAGCAGACCTTTGTGCGAAGAGCAAGAGAAAAAAAACAAAACAATTACAAAAACATGAATGGAAATCAGCGCGCACCACGGCGGTGGCGTCACATGCAGCACCGATACGTTTCCAAACCAGAGGGATCACGTAGTGTTTTTAAAACATCGCACTGTTTTTTTTCTCTGTTTGTGCACAAACAACACGACGAGGATCTGTGAGCGTAAAGCTGCACATCCTCTCCTTCCGCTGGCTGCAGTGTGCGGTCAGAGCCCAGGTGGGTTCTGGTCCTGTCACGGGTTAACATCGTATTTGGCTGAAATCCAGCGTAAAAACGCGCACACGCACTCACCCTCCACCAGCAGGCAGGAGCCCAGGGAGAACACATCGAAGTCGGAGAAGCCCTCCGGCAGCGGGTACGAAGACACCATCCTGAATCCGAGTCTACTCAACAAAGTGCAGCTGTCACAGACTTTTCACTCGTCCGCGTCCGCTCGTTTACGATGTGCCTCGACGAGACGAGAGGAGAGTCCCGCTTTTTAAAGGCGCATTTCACGTGAAAAGCATGCACTCCATTATGTAAAGCCCCCTCTCTCTGCGTCGCCCCAATCCGTGCAGGAATGTCTTAATGAACATAACCGCACAAACAGTAACCCTTAATGCGCATTTGTCCGCAATCGTAAAGCCCTCAATTAGTTTGAGCCCCTGCACAACAAAGCCTTTGTGTCTGCGTCCCCCCGGTGAGGAGGATGCGGGCTGCGCCGGTGTCGAGCAGCCGGACAACACTTTGGTTTGGGTGCAGCCTCCGTCTCGCTTTAAGGAGACACAACAGGTGTCTCCTCCCAACACACACACTCACACACACACACACACACACACACACACACACACACACACACACACACACACACACACATAGATAGAATGCTAGAATATATTATCATGGTTCATTGTCCAACGAAATATGCTGTGTGTCTCCAAAACGTTATAATATAGGCTATAAATAGACAAGTAATAAGATTATATATATTGACATTATTATATACATTGAAATTAATATATTCTTAGTTGATTTGATCAAATACTGCACGATGATAAAGTATTGCACCGTAAAACAGGTCAAACGGTAAAATTGTACGTTGAGGGCAGTTTTTAAGTAGCTCCAGAAATCTGTGAATCTCATTCAGGTTATTGTATCTTCTGGTTCCAGATCTATAGTCGTGTCATGATGGAGTTTACTTCAATCATGAAGCTCAATCCACTTGGTTTACTGCAACTGTTTCCTCAAGCTTACATGCACTGGACAAAGGGTTAAAATATATATTTTATACATTAATTCATTTACTCTGGTGTATGATACAGGACTCCTGGTTTATTATTCCTAGATTTAAATACTCCAATATGCACATCATTGCTTTGCATCTTATTGATGTAAACACATAATAATAAATGTATCTGATGTATATCAGTTCATTACATAACCTTGTCCATTCACTGATTGATGACACAAAGTGATTATTGTGAATGCACTGCAGAGGATCTTTATTAATCCACTCACCCACGTGGCTGGACTCTGTTTGACAAGTGAATGTAAAACTCATCAGGTCAGGATTTGTTTTCTGGATGTCTTCTTTGTTTTGTTTTAAAACTTTTGTCAGACACACTGACGTCAAGAGATTAAACTCCACATCTGCCTGAAATGATGAGGGACAAAACTAAATTGCACTTTTCGGAGCTGCAGACACAACATATGTCTACAGGAGCTCCAGTCTAGGGTTTAGTGTGTGATATGGGTGAAATCAAATGTGGTGCCAATTTAAAGTCTGTGTTCCTTTTTAGTTTTAGCCGATCGACAAGTGTGTTAATAACATGAAATCCTGCCATCATGCAGAGCCTCCCATGGATTTGCTATGTTTCAGTTGCGACATCATTTGCAGCTTTTCATGCCACAGGACTGAATGAGGGGAAACAAGCCGGACATTGTGTGGCTGAGGTTTGTCTCAGTCTGAGGATTATAAGATCAGGAATCTTGTGAAATATAGGTGATCATGCATGAAGTGCTAAATCATATGGCAATGCAATTTGTCATGATCGATACGATCCATTATTATTTTTATAATTGGACACTTATATCAAACAATATTCAGTATAGTCATTGCAGAACTTGACAGCAGTTTATTTATATGGCCATAATAAGACAAATAACCATTAATGATTTGTAAGATATAGATAAAGAGAAACAATGAGAATACACTGAAATTGTTTAATTTGTTGTATCGAAGTTGATGAAAAACACCCAAATCTCTTTGTCCTGGTTTGACCCCAACATGAATTTAGGTATGCACTTTTTTCTCCCCAGAGATTAAACAGGGTTAAAAATAATCCTACATGTAAAGAAATGGTGACACAAGTAAGCATACATATAAAATGTTTGTGCTGGTCATGTGAGGCCTGTTTATTCCAATGTAACTTCATCATATCTGTTCCATGTGAGACTTTCTGCACAGTAAGAATGACATTGCAGCTCGAATAAAGTCCAGTCCTCTGGTTCAAACGATATAAAAGGGCAGCTTTAATGGCTTCAGTAAATAAGATTATCGTCTTGCAGAGCAATGTGGAATGTATACGTTTTTAACACGAGGGAACATTATTGCTCAACACGTTAGTGGCCTCTGTACAGACCTGCACGGTCCTAAAACCATACATCATGAAACAAGTCTTTCTTCCTCTCAGAGGGATTTTAAGTGTTAGAGCTCAATAAAACTAATATTGTAAGGTAATGTGCAGGTTGGGTGAGAGGAGAAGCTAATATGTCAGAATGATGCACACAAGACACACAGATGTTGAAGATTTCTAAATTAAGTAACTCTGTAATCTGTTATTATTCTCACTCTCCTAAACTATTTGTGTTGTAATAAAACCCCTGACCCTGGCTCAGCGGTTAAATCTACGTCAGATGTAAAAGTGGGTTCCTGCTGCCAAGTTGTTCAAACAAAGTGTGTGTAACTATTTATTCAGTTGCACACTTTGTGATGCCAGGGGGGAAACACAAGGGACTGGTGCCAAATAACTTGTGTGTGGTATTTACAAGCGCTATAATTATCAATGTCGCCTTCAGGGTGCCAATTGTGCCTTCAGGCTGTGGACTGAGTTAAAGGTGCCTTAGATAAATTACAGCTGCAGTTGACTCCTGGGTCAATTCCTGGGTCAGAGTCACAGCCAGAACATTTTGATTATTTTCATTTCACATTGGAATGTAGTGCAGATCTCTGTCATGACATTCATAGAATCATTTCCTCTTCATCGATTTGTCTACAAGGTAAACGCTCAGAGTGGAACCTGGAATAGTGAGAGAAGAAGGTTTTTATACAGTATGATAAACAGGAAACGTCTGCCTTTGCTTCTGCAGGAAACAGAAAGTTTGCTGGTTGCACAGATCAGGGTCAACAAGAGGATCATGAACTTTGAGGTTGCATCGGCCAAGTGCACAGCAACACTCAGGGCATTTGTTAGTTAAAGGTAAAAATTAAAAAAAGATGGTCCAGACGGTTCCTCTTATGCGAGCACAACTGTATTTATATATGAGGAGTTATTGTTGAACAGAGCACACAAGCATTGATCAGACATAGGAAAGAGTTCAAGCAAAGTTCATGTATGGACTGTTTACCAAGTAAACAGTCCATTTCAAACAGGGAGGTTTGAAACCAAAATCTCAATCTTTGCTTTCTAATAGCGGAGCTACTATTTTCTTTAGCGATATTAATATTCAAAGTCCTCTAAATAAAACAAGGATGACAGTCAGAAAATGAAACATCTGTGGACTGCACAGGCCCCAAGGTAGGAGCCTCAGGCTGTTGTAGGGGCCACCGTGTGGTAAAACGCAGTGCTGCCCACTCACAGATTAACAGTCATGGCAGGGCTCAAATGAACAAACTACATTTGAGAGAAAGAAAAAAATCCAAACATCACAGTGGATTATGACCATTTCGGAAGTGTTTTTCTGTGATAATAAATAGGGACGTCTCTGCACAGCCTATCGGATTCCGGGATGCAATACGCATCCAAATGAAAAGAACGCCAGTCCTCGCTAATCCTTGTATATCCTTTTTATCTCGGGACTCATAGCAGTCTGATCACTATGGGACAGCGAAGCGGTGGGACCAAGCCATGCGGATGATATTCTTGTAAATGAGAGAAAAAAGCAAGTCTGTCTGACTTCAGAGGGCGCAAACTGGGCGCATGTAGCTGCGTATGCGTAAAAGTGGGCCAACATGTTCCTCGTTCTGCTCCTGGGGCTCTACCTGGCCACAGGTGAACTTATCTCCCCAGTGAGCTCCTGTCCGTCGCAGTGCAGCTGTTTCTACCACAACCTGAGTGATGGATCAAAGGCCAGGTAAGCATGGGAATTATTTTATATCCCAAAACACACTGCAGTTTGGTTTGGTTTGTGCGTTTCTTTAGAAGTGCAGGTCTAGTCCTCACACGAGGATATATTTTTTCAGAGAGGTGAACACGTGTACAAAAGATAATTCAGGGAGTGCATGTCGATCCAATTTTATTTAATGCAGGATTATCTCTCAAAGGCACTTTCAACCCTCCCATTTATGCGTTTTTAAGTGTTTGGATGGATTGGGAATGAGTGTTTTTTCAGAATTATCCACAGGATTTTAGTGGCATGTGAACTTTTCATTTAGAGTCCAAAACATGATTTAATTGAATTTAATGGTGTTTTTTTCATTTTCCATTTAATTTCATCGTTTCATTTGCTGTAAAATATATCAATCTGCGTAATTTGCACAGGATGTTGAACATAAATTCACGTGTCTCTTCCTCTTTTAGGAGCGTGATTTGCAATGACCCCGACATATCTCTTGTGCCTGTCGGGTTCCCTGTTGACACGTCCAAGCTGCGGATCGAGAAGACGGTCATTCAGCGGATACCAAGCGAAGCCTTTAACTACCTCTCCAGTCTGGAATTCCTGTGGATGTCTTTCAACACCCTGTCCGCCTTGAATCCGGACAGTTTCCGGGGATTGTTCAACCTGGAAGAGCTTCGCCTGGACGGGAACGCCCTCACCGCCTTTCCCTGGGAATCTATCATGGACATGCCCAGCCTCAGACTTCTCGATTTGCACAACAACCAGCTCACCTCGCTGCCCGCGGAGGCCACCACTCACATTAAGAACCTCACCTACCTGGACCTCTCCAGCAACAACCTGCTGACCCTGCCTGCAGAGGTGCTCTCCACCTGGCTGGCGGTGAAACCAGCGCAAGGACCAGAGAGCTCCAAGATGATACTTGGTAAGTGACACCATGTCACTCATGCACCCTTCATGCACCCAATCCCTCAGCTCCAGGTACTGTCAAAAACTGTGCGTAAAGGAAGTTGTGTTACATTTACGCAGAGGAATGTTCTTGAACAGCTGAATAACAGCTGCTAAGCAACACATCACTTCATCTTATGATCAGTAAATCTGACGATGAAATTACATCAATATCGGAGGAAAAACACATTTAGCAAAATA